GTTCTATAGCACAGCTTTGTCTGAAAGGTCCTTTTTGTTGCCACAGCATTTCAAAGACCTGCTTGGTCGCAGAAAGTTCAGATATTTAGCATCTTTTCTATCGTGTTATTGCCTGTTGAGGTTGGTTAAACTCTGCGATCATGTTCTTCAGATACTTGAAACGTGTAAAACAGAATCATTGTACGATTTTCGAGTCAACCGAAAAGTTACTTTTTATTATACACTTTGTGCTTTGTTATATTAAGTGCAGTTTGTTATAAAGATGATGACACCAACACCTTTTTAGGTTTTCACAAATTGTATTATTGTAAATGTAGTTGTGTGTACATACTCTAAACAATCCCATTTGTTGTGTGATTTATATGTTATGTAAATTCATACGTAGATATTGATTGGATTTCAGCTGGTTGATATTTCAACTTTTAAGGAAAGAACGTGTACACAGATCAAAACCTTGTGTAGTGCAAGGCTGTTTAAAGTGTCCAAAAATGTGTCTTCATATGGTATAAAGCTCTGTTTGTAACTTGCTAAGCACATAGTTGCATATTGTATGATGTGATAATGAAGGGCATTGTAAAGGTTTTCTGTGTGCATGGTTGCATTCACCAAATTCAGAATTATCCAGACCAGTATGTAAATAAAAAAAACATTTGAATGGTGTGTTTACAAAAAAACAACAACAAAAAAACAAAATTGGCTTACTTCCAAAGACGGACATGCTAGGTGATTGGTGATTCTAAATTAGCTGTAGGTATGGTGTGTGAGACAAATAAAGGTTTTACAGTGCAATCAATAAAGTTCTGAATGTGTGTGTGGGCGAGCATTTGGGTTGTGAATGTGGCTTGTATTGTAAAATCCTTTGTGTGGTCTGAACACAAAAACACAATATTGTTTAAGCCAGTTAATTTACATTTTCAGTCCACCTAGCTCCACAATCCTTACAAAACATGGTAAAATGTTAATATTTGGAAAAAATTTTTTTAGCCCTCTGGCTTCCACCCAGGGAGGATAAATAGAGGCTCAGAAATTACAACATGTTGGAAATATCAAAAACTGCAGATCCAGAAATGCCTGCTGTTTCCAAAAGCGAGTCAAAGACATCAGTGTTAAAATGCAACTTTACAGCCTTTAAAAAAAGACTTTGGTGTCAGCAGCTAATTTACACCTTCATCGCATATCAAAGGGTGTTGAGGGTGTATTTTTTTAACACACAAAAAGTTCTGGAAAATCATTGGTGACATAGTCACTTTGATTAAGAGGTAAGTGCTGAACACCGAACACCAGCTGTAATTGCTTCATTCTGCTGTGCTTCATCTCCTTTAATTGTTTTATTTATATAGCACCAAATCACAACAGCAGTTGCCTTAAGGCGCTTTATTTTGTAAGGGAAAGACCCTACAATTACACAGAGAAACCCCAACAATCAAAGGATCCCCGTGAGCAAGCATTTGACAGTGGGAAGAGCGAACTGCCTTTTAGAAGAAGAAACCTCCAGCAGACCAGGGAGAGTCAGCCATCTGCTGTTGGGTATGAAGGAAAGGAATTTGGACAAAAGATATGGTGTGTAAGAAAACTTTAGATGAATAATAACCAATAATTAATGCCGATGTGTGTATGGTGAATGAAAAAAAGCAGCCGAGAGCAGACAGGTGACCCTGGATTCAGAGTCCAAGTATATGCTTTGTCAAAATGTAACATTTTAAACTAAACTACTTTTAAGATTTAAAATAATCTTAAAAGTAGAGAGGATGTCTGTCTACCAAATCCAAACTGGGAGCTGGTTCCACAAAAGAGAGGCCTGAAAGCTGAAGGCTCTGCCTCCTATTCTACTTTTAAATACCCTAGGAAACACAAGTAAACAAGCAGATATGTACTATTACAGGAGTCCAGCAAGCACTCCTACATATTTGCTTGATATGCCCACTGAAGGACATATCCTGGTGAAAACAATACCAAGATTCCTCACAGTGTTACTGGAGACCAGGGTACTGTCATCCAGATTAAGTATCTGGCCAGACATTATGTTTCTAAGAGTTTAGTTTTATCTTAATTTAGAAGCACATAAGCAGAGGTCATGCAGGTCCTTACTAATGGATGAAAAAGTATCTATGAATTTGAGTCACTGAGCTCGACATCTTATGTTTTTTTTAGAGAATTTCTAACGCAGCTGATGTGACTAACTGTGCAAAACTGTGTTAACAGCCTGTCCAGTGAGTCTGTGCCCCACTTGTGTTTAGTGACACTTTTGTATTTCATTAGTATGTCACTTACCACTATTCAGTAATTAATAACTGCATTTTGTATAAGTATATACTTTTTGTGGGGCTCCATACTGTCTGTGGCTTGTTAATTAAGCTTAGCACTTCATTGTAATATATGCAGCCACACAGTTCAGTTACAGCTCTATCAACAGCAGGTCATGCTATAAAAATGAAAATGTCAATACTCCAGTGAAATAAAAGAGAACGAGAGAGTGTAACAACTCAAAGTGCACATTTCACAAATTTGAAACATCTAAGGAAGTTTTAAATACTTTTATTGTGATTGTTAAACGGTGGTAAGAGTGGCAGACGGGTTCAAGGTGGGGCGTAATTACATCAGGGATGTTCTCTCAGCCCTACTTGTTTGCAATGGTGATGGACAGGTTGACAGATGACAGATTTTCATTGGAAGTGAGCAGAAGAAACAGATGTGAATACATCGAAGGGACAGCTCAGGTTGAGGAGTTTGGAGACAAAGTTAGAGATGATTTGGACATGTGCAGGCTGGAGCTAGTTGTTTTAAAGTATTGGAGAAAGGATGTTGAATATGGAGCTGTCGAACAAAAGGGAAAGAGGACGGACCTCAGGGAAGGTTCATGGATGTAAGTGAAGGAGGAGATGGAGAGAGTTTGTGTGACAGAAGAGGATGCTAGCGATAGGATGAGATGCAAGTAGATGATGGCGACCTCTAAAGAGAGCAGCCAAAAGGAAAATAGGAAGAAATATAACAATATACAAACAAAGGACGTTTGAAATACGAGTGTTATGATTGGCTTTTCTCAGGAATAAACAAACCTGTGTTTGCTTAGTGCAAAAGCTCAATGTGGTACCTTTAAAATAACGATGTCCCAGAATTTCAAACTATTCTGGAAAAATGATAAAAATATGAAGATCACACCACCTTCACACTAGCATCCAATTACTACTGCAGGTCACAAACTTCTGTCTGGAATCAGTTTGTTTACTTTCTTTCAAGCTTTACTTTATTTGGCTTTTCTATTTACCTTTGGAATTACTTTTGTAAGACATGAAAAAAGGAAACTTTTTAATATTTATCCATCAGAAAAAAGTCTTTCAAGATTCATATACAACAAAATGTAAATTAAAAGATTAAAGGATAACCAATCTGATTCAATCTAATACTGTGGTGTTGTTGTTGTTGTTTTTAAGAAATCGGATGTTTAAAAAAATGCATCAGACAAAATAAATTTTAGATGAAAGGGAGAACAGAGTTTCTTACTTTGATGAAGCAACTAGTTAGTTAGCAGATGGCTAAAAGGAAGCAGAAGGACATGTTCTCTGATGTATTACTTCAAATCCCCACAGACACTGAAGGATATGTTCTCTTTTTTATGATACAGCCACAAAGCTTCATTATAGCTGTGTGTGAAGGCTGGCAGGTTTCAGATAAAACTGAAGACCAAACCTCGTACATAGTTACAGGCATGAATGCAAATACCATTGTAAATAACTGTGTCACAGAACTGTGAGAAACCACACACTTACACTTCATGCTGCACCTAGTTAATTCTTACCATGAAGTAAAGTGGGTCGATCTGCTTTGATATAAGCTTTTAAGTGTTCTTTGTGGTAAGTAGCCTTAGAGAAGTTTAATCACAATAAGCAGGCAGTGGAATTTTTTTCCACCTTCGCCCGCTTGCGTTTTCATATTTCATTATTTCAATAGCAGCAGTAACTGAAGCCACCTTGAAATTTTCACAACTACAGAGTCGGTAAAGCTTTGATTGTCTGGTAGACAACAAAAAAATAGTCTGATGACCTTTAGAGGAATGGCTATGGTGGATAATCTCCTTCAGTCTCCATAACTCACACACACCACCACACAGCAGAAAACAGCGAATGATTCAAACTTTTGTTTGCTCAGATAAGGCCTGCGATTTCGATATTAGATCAGTTCATCTTTCAGATCACTGACCTGTTATGAGATATCTAAAGATCTTCATTTCACTTCTTGGCTGCTTATTTGGGGGCCAAGGGGGCGAGCAAACAAGCCTTTTATTGAGATAAACCATCAAGACAGTAAGAGATCCACAGGGAAGTGGAAATAGCCAAGCCAGACACATGTGGGTCCCTCTGTGTGTGTGTGTGTGTGTGTGTGTGTGTGTGTGTGTGTGTGTGTGTATGTGTGTGTGTGTGTGTGTGTGCGCGCGCACGCTAGAAACTGTTTAAAGCCAGGCATAGTTTGTCTCTTTTCCTCTTTTCTCACATGACACGATGAAGCACACAATAAGAGAAGGACACCTCTGACTGAATGAAAGTGAAAAACCCTCTGAGGCTGTGTTGTGGTTCTTCTTTGGAAACCTGTCACTGGGATCTATCAGTGCTGAAGTAATATTACGAATGTCATGAATGAAGAGATACATAATAAAATTTAATATGAGGGAATATTTGTGTTTCCTCTAAGAATTCAGTTGGTTAAACAACTCCATAATTAAAGGGACATCTCACTTCCAAATGTGGTAGTTGCCCAGCTTTGCTGATACAGGCTATAGAACTGTTTTGTGGCGTGTGGCGAGGCGTGGTCTGTGGTGCCGCTGCAGGGGAGATGGACTCACCTGCACAGCATCTACAATCACGTCTCGCCACCATAAAAACCTGTGCTGTCGTTGTTGTTGGTGTGTGGCTGGCAGTTCGGAAGCTACAGGCAAGTATTTGTAACAACAACAGTACTTAAGAATAAAGTATGCTGAAAAGTATAAAAATGTGGACCAGTCCGCCCTAAGGACCAAGGACCCAGCCGGCCAGGGAAGGAGCTGGGGCAAATGGTGGCAGAGCCGGTGGCAGCACAGACCACGCCCTGCCACATTATATCAAAAGTGTAATGAAAACAGCACCAGACAGACAGACAGACAGACAGACAGACAGACATTGTGGGAAGTAAAGAAGAACAAATAATTTCTCACTGTGGGGTCAACTTGGTAAACTGGGCCATCAGTTAAAATGGGCCATCTTAGGTTTGAGTATCTCTTTAAAAATTAACAGCCAATGACTCAGTACTCAGCATTCAGCATTTGATTTTACTGATCCAAGATTGACACTGGTCAGCCTCACAGCAAGAAGATCTTTCTGTGTGGAATTTCTATGTTCTCCCCATGTCTGCATGGGTTGTCTCCAGGTCCAAAGACACCCAAATAGTGGGGTTAGGTTAATTGGTATTTGGTGAGTGGTAAATTAGTAAATTGCTCATAGGTGTGAATGCTGTGCAATAGACTGGCAACCCGTCCAGGGTAACCCCCCCCCCCATGCTAGCTGAGATAAGCTCTTTGTGATCATGAATTGGATAAGTGGAAGAAAATGGGTGGATGGTGTAAGATTGGTCAGGGAGGTGGGCCAATATCTCATTCTGAGACTGCCCCAGAAAACTTCACGGTGACTTATCCAATCTCATTGGATAAATCAATATGTAGAACTAATGATTCACAACACTTGTCAAGATGGACTGTCTCAGATAAAATGCTGATAAATGTTTTTTCATGAAAAAGCTTTTTTTTTTCATTAGGGGCGCAAATTGCCTTTATGTGTCCGATGAAATGGCTATAATTTCGGTTAAATTATGTCACCCTCTGAACTGAGCTTTAGCAGATATTCTGATGCTTCCTCTCATTAAAAAAAAAGATGTATAATATTTATAAATTCTATTGCATCCAATTCAATTTATTTTAATTTAAATATTGCCAAAAAACAAAAACAGTCGCCTAAAGACAGGTTATATTGAAAGGTAAAGACCTTGCAATAATACAGAGAAACCCCAACAATCAGACGACCCTCTACAAGCTGTTAGGTTTTCCACGCTCCCTTCTAAGTGCATTTGTATATGTTTATGCGTGTTTATGCCCCCCCCTCCCCCCGACACACACACACACACACACACACAATTTAATAAAAAAAGGTTTTATTTCACCTCATAGTGATCATGGTGGATTTCATTCTTTTTACTTTATCACTTACAAGCTACAGATTTGTGAAAAATCCAAATCAGGCTTTAGACCAGTATGCCACAGCTTATACAGGCACAGTGTTGTTATTGTTTTGTTCTTTCTGTGCTTGTTATTGCACTGACATCCTTCAGAAGTACTTATGTAATGAAAATGCAATACATTATAACTTACCCATCTCCTGTTGGAGATGCTCCCCGCTGCTGTAACAATGCAGCATATGAAATACATGAGGAATAAATAAAAACATGCAGAAGCCTGATAAACAATCCCCCTAAACATTCACACAATAATATTACGCTTATTTAAAAACACTGTTATTTTGTGGGAATCCCCCCCCCTTAGACTTATTAAAGAAGGTTGTTTATTGCTCTTAGAGACTTTCCAAATATTTTTTTTCCTGTGAATGTAAAGCAGTACCTCTAGAGCAGCGTGTTGAACTTAGCTCAGCTCACCTCTGTGAGCACTAAGAATTTCTGATACAAGCTGTCCTTGTAAATGAGGAGAGAAATGAAGTTAACTGGCAACCCTGCATCAGAAGTAAGATTTTCTTCCATCTCATTTTCTTTATTCTTCTAAAACCAAGTTATATGCTGTGTGTCTAGGAAATGTTCGCATAATAATAGTAGTAGTACAGTTTTACGTTCTAAACCCTGTGCAGTCCATATGAGTGTAGCTCATGCTCCCACTAGAAGAAGCAAAAATGTAAAAACGAAAGCTAAGGTGGCTCCATCCTGGCCATGAACAGTGTTTGCAACAGCTCTGAAAAAGTCAATGTCTCATGACTAAATTACCACTAAGTTATAAACAGACAAAATAACCAGTGATAGGATGAAGCATTAAATGGAAATAATCTCACCTAGACTAAATGATTTTTGGTCTGCTTTGGTCGATGTATTGCAGTTGTCACACCATATTTAGCCAAGCTGGTGATGAACCACCTGTTCCCTAGTTTCCTTTCCTGTCCCTGTGTAAAAATGTTGTTATGGACATATAGGCCAATGGCATCAGTGATTTCTCCAGAGGCTTCATTTAAAAAAGATGTAAGATGTTTCTACCTAGTGCTTTTTCTAACTGCATTCACACTCCAATGGACGCATCGGAGAGCAACTTGGGGTTAGCACTTTGCACAAGGATACTTGACATGCAGACTGGAGGAGCCAGGGATTGATGTTTCTACCCATGTCCCACCACCTCTTCAGAGAGCAGTTTGCTCTATTTCCTCGATGTAGCTGACAAACATTCCTATCAACTTTGGTTTTATGAGACTCAACAACAACAACAAAATAACCTGTTATTATATGAGAGACTGAGCGTTACATTCTAGTCTGCTGTTTGAGGTTTTGTTTTGAATTTTAACCACTTGTCTAATTCAGGTTTGGGGTGGGGGGTTGGAGCTTCTCTCAACTGTCATAAGGTGAAAGGTGGGGTACGCCGTGGATAGGCTGGCAGTCCATCATAAGGCTAACAGAGAGAGACAGACAACCATTCCCACCTACAGTGTGGCCAAATTAAGTAGTAAATGGACTGGTTCTTATATAAAGCACTTTATACAGCATGCCTCATTCGCCCATTCATATAAGCACTTTTTTTCTATGACGAAGTGGTCTTTTATCTAACATTTGAACAGATTCAGAAGTCAATGAATGCATCAGAGAACAACGTGGGGTTCAGTATCTTGCTCAAGAATATTTTGGCATGCAGACTGTACAAGCAAGGCATCAAACCACCAACCTTCCAATTAATGGATGACCTACTCAACCTGCTCTTGAGCAGGAGGTTGGACAGTGGTTAGAATCAACCACTTAGCTGAACATAAATGTCAGCAGTGCTAACCACTGGACCAGCATCCCACACTATTTCTGGTTTTCAGTCATTATTTCCACTTTGTTTTGAAATACTCACCAATTGCCCCGTGCTTCTCGTGTTTAATGTTTTTGTGACCCATCCTATTTAGTTTCACTCACCATTCTCCTCTCTGTACTGCTCTGTTACACTTCGTGTTCGTAACTTTGTTTCTCACAGTTCTCATGCATTTCCGATGCCATGTGCTCAGGCTCACTCTGCCAGAGTCTTGTGATTTTAATAACTTCGCCTAAACATTGACTGCTTTGCTTCTACCAACGCATGACTTAAATAACATTCTTTGATTTTTATTTATTTTTTTACTCTTGAGTCATGAATTTCTGTTAGAAACTGCAGCTAGAAACTCATTTCAGAATTACACTTTAATAAACCTGTAGAATTTTTGGCATTGAGGGTTTTGAAAAATTCAAAAGGCAGTATTGCACACAGGCTGACAGAGGCTCATTTGGCTGACTTATATTTGAATCATGATTTGAAACATTTCCATGGGCCCACTCAACTCCATTTAAAGGAGTATTCAACATGAATTGCAGACCTAACTGACATTAAATGTTACCTAACATATAGCATTTATTTTCGAGACTTGGAAACTATAAACCTTCTTTGCTGGACAGTCATGCATGTAAGCTGAGTCTCAATTAAACTGAAATGCATAATTAGACTAGACACCAGTAGACTATTTTCACTAAGATTATCTATTGAAGAATGTTAAAATCCATACAAAACTCAATAAGCTCCATCAAAGCGACAGATGTAGTTGAATCTCATTAAATAGCACACATCTAGACTTGTCCAAAATATTGCACATAGATTATTTTTTGCTGCCTGACTGAATATTAATTCAGAAGTTCAGATGATGGTGTGAAAAAGAAAAGTTTAAGTGAAAAAAAATCGAATTAAGCCATGAATGCTTTATAAACACATTATTTCCCTTCAGTAAATCTGAACTGGTCTGCACGAAACAAATAATGCATGTGTCGTATCATGTTAGCGGTCACGTCTAAATCTGACTAAATTTGTAGGTCAGCGTGACCTCCCTGACTAGCCATTTATGAGGTTCGATTTTATTCAGTTTGTTATTTTGAGTGACTAAATAAATAAATAATGAATGTCACACAACCTTATCCTTTGACAAAAGTTCTTTGTTTTCCTACTCGCTAAAAGGCATGGCAATTTCCATTTCTGAAGTATGAATCGATGTCATTACATGTACATGCTTACAAAAGGGCCTTGTATCATTATCTGCCACTGGCTCTTCGTCCCTACTTTACTTGCTATGATAATGATTATTATCTGAAATGAGTCTTTTCTGTTCATTTATATCTTGTTTTATTGTTATTTGGTGCTCCAGAATAGAAAACAAGTTTGCTAAATAAACAACACAAAACACCATAAAAGCAAAGTTCAAGTACACAAACCCGCTTGCTTGTCTGTAATATGAACAAGGTTATCACTGTGCTACACTGGAAAGTTCTGGATGTCTCCCTGCAGGGACTTCACTTTACCCTTACAGGGAAACCACAAATTTTCAGGGAACAGTGGGGCAGGCTTTTTTTTTGTCAACCTCAATCAGCGCCAACTTTCCAGAGGAGATAAGGCAGGGCAAAATGTTGCATCCTACAAACAGGCAGAGGAAGGGAGAGAATCTCTGTATGAACAGATCCACAGACTGTTGAACAGTTACAAATTGCAAATACTCTTCTGTTAGAATGAAGATGATTTCCTTCCCCCCAAAGTGGTACTTCAGGTTCAGAGTTTGAGTTAATGCTGCACATATCACAACACGCAAGTGAACAGAGCAATTTTAGAGTTTATTTAGCAAAAACAATAGAGTTGGTGTGACAGAAGAGGATGATAGGGATAGTGTGAGATGGAGGCAGATCAACCGCTCTGGAGAGATCCTAAAAGGAGCAGCTGAAAGAAAGTCTCCCTCCAATTCATGTTAATGTCTGCTTCATTTACTGTGATGATAATTTTGGTTAAAATTGTTTAAGACTGAGACAAAGATAAACTCACTGATGAGAATGTATTCATGTTAAGTTACTGTACAGATGATGCTTCAGGATGCATGATTTAATATCAGTGGTTCATATCAGTTATCCTTAGGTTGCATACTATGAACAAAACTCAGATGTCATCTCATCATGTTACTAACAAAAGATGAACCAAAACCCAAATGACTGAATAAATAACTCAAATATAAAATATTTGACCTGAGTTGTGGAAACAGCTGGTCTATCGTGTGGATGTCACACTTTGCTTCTTCACCTGCGTGCTTAAGTTGCAGTACCAGCAGGGGGCGATCATTTATTTAAAGCCAACAAGTCACTACTTACCAAGGTGTGGGCTATTCTACAAAGGGCTATTCTAAAGAATGAAGTACTTTCAAGGGTCCTTCTATGCCAGGTAAGATTAAGCTAGATGGTTGATATGTATTTACATATAAATGTATTAGTAATGTTTCCTTAAAGGTTTGCCCATGACTGTTTTCATGTTGGCTTTAAATAAATTATTGCCGTCTTCTGTTACTGCAAGGTATTGCAACTTAAGCATGTCTGTAAGTTCTCAGTCATCCAGGTCATGGTAGTCTAAGGAGCTTATGGTTGATGTTTCTTGAAGTAGTTTTCACCTTATATCCGAGAAGCTTCATCAAGTCAAAAGCCAAATGATGGAGAGACACAGGTACGAATTAAAGTTTGTTTCAGAACTGAAGAACCAGAGGTGAAATGCCTTCAAGAAATTTAAAGAAGTCAATTTGCTTTCTTTCCAAGCTCCTTAGGTAAGTTAAGCATGCGTATCCATATCACGTCTGGAGAGGCAAAGCGTGACATCCACATGATAGCCCACCGGGTCTATTACATCCTTTTCCGTGATACTGGGTTGAGGTACAACTGCAAATACTCCTGTGCTGCATCCCAGGTGAAGCAGAATGAATTTAATGTCTTTAAGGTATTGTTTTTAGCATAGCCTAGTTTGGGCTCTGCATAGACGCCTCAAAAATGTAACCTATTTCCAGTACATGTGTGCTGGTGATGCTCAGGGCAGAACAGTCCAACCTCGGACCGTGAATATACCAAATCCATCTGCGATGTTTCCGCTTTTATGAGCCACACAGTCATGTCTGATCTTTTTCTTTTTTTTTCCATGTCAGGGTGGAGCTGTATCATAAGCAGGGGTTCTCTGTGAACTGCTGACTTGCACCATGTCAGTTCTGCTGAATAAAAATAAAGCGTTAGATAATCGATTATAGAAAGAACTTAATTTTGCAGTGAGTTAAGCAAAAGGAAATGAGAATTTTAGGATTAAAAATGTAGTTTAAAAGACTATTGAAAATCATGATCCAAAGAAAAGGGTTTTGAAGCAAAATGAACTGAATCATATGAAAAACGCAAGAATTCAAGACTTTAGCCTAGCAATGATATTCTCCTTCAAACGCAGGGATTATGTAACTGTGTTCGTTTGTTTGCATGCTTTTAAGGCATCTAGCATCCAGTTTTCAAGGTCTTGTGTTCAAATTTTGTGTAATGGTAGATACGTATAACAGCTTGAGCTGCTTTAATTTTGGTGAAAATCAGGTCAAGATCACACCAAATGTGAAATCAGTGACCCTGATTGTTAGCACGCTGATGTCATCATATCATAATAAAAACAGGCTGAGGTCAGCATGTCATAATGAAACATCATAAAAAGTTTTAGTACAGCCGTTGCTCTTCAGGGTTAGTTACACCGTCTGAGTGCTCTTGTTTGGTATTTGAAATGTTGCGCGGGACATTTTATTGGCACATTTTGAGCAGCTTAGTCCCAGCTGTTTGAGTATTGTTGCTGAATATGTCCATCCCATTATAACCACAGTGTATCCATGGCTGCTTCCATTAGGATAATGCACCTCAAAGCTCAAAAGAAATTGCAAACTGGTTTGAAAGTAACAGCAAGTCCAGTGTACATAGATGGCTTCCAGAGTCACCAGATCTCAATAGAGCACCTTTGGGATGTAGTGAAATGGGAGCTTTGGATCATGCAGGCAGGAACTGTGTGATGCTATCATGTTAGCTTGAATCAAAATCTCTGAAGAATGTTTCCAGCACCTTGTTGAATCTATGCCAGAAATAACTAAGGCAGTAATGAAGGCAAACGTCTGCCCAACCCAGTAATAGTACACCACCACCACCAGTAGTAAGAACACAATGATACCTGTGGATGATATCCCAAATCTTTAGTCCATCATCCCTGTAGTAGAAGTTTAGCACAGCCTCCAGGCCACGTTCAGCAATGTCATCTGGCATACAGAGGGAGCTGTAGGTCATTGAGGACACTGACATCTGCAGGATGGTAACCATGCCCTCTCCACCCAATACTACAAACTAGAGAACGGGCAGCTCACGGTTAGAGACAAATGTTGTACATAACACTGAAAATGAAACAATTCTTTAGTGTGCTGGTCATCGCATAAAATGTTAATGTTTTTACTGCGTACCTGAGTGAAACTGCCAGTCTCAGATATGAGACGACTTCGAGCTAAGAGGTTGACATGCGGTGAGTAGCGTGTGTGAGGTTTGAGAAGCTGAGGGAAAGAGGAAACGACATTAGCAAGACGATCATTTAATATATTGTTTGTACACTTTTTTATATAGTGAAGAAATTCATAGGTGGTATTAATATGCCATCCGTTATGGACAAATGCTTTCCACACCATTGAAATGAATGGTATAGCAAACGTCAGTTACCTTGTACAGAGGATGCACCATGGGCACGTTTCAATCTACGTGTCAGACTCTGCAACCTGGAAATCACTATGGGATGATTTTTTCCACAAGGCTAAAGCTCGGGCAGAAGGAAGGGTGTATTATTAAATTAAAGCTTACTGTCTGAATTACCTGAATAGCAATTGGCATTAGCTTATCATCAGGATCTTTGTGGAGCAGGACAAGAGGAGCCACCACCAAGTACTGCTTCTTCCCGTTGATGGTGTTTGCTTTTTTCTCCATCCAGACGCTTGTAGTCACACAAGAATATGTTCCCTTTCTGTTTGAAAGTTCAGGATATTGTAGAAATCTGAATATAATATCTGCTCATGTAAAAGTGAATTTATTGAAAAGATCTAACTGATACAAGAAAAAATTCTTTCTCCTTTTGCATAAGAGACAGTCACCTTCATTTCACCTGCCAGGCTGCACTGGCCATGGGGAAAGACCATGTCATCAGTGACAGGGAAGTTACTGGGCAGGGCTGTACAAAGCTGAATCAACATGGGGTTGAAGAAAGCATCCTCTTTCCAGTGTTCATGAACATATTCTGTGAAAAAGAAACAAATTCAATTTCTGACTTCATGTCTTAAATGTTATATCAAATATAAAAAAAGGTAAGACCTTTCCGTAAATGTGTTGATACACATTCTTTACATTTTTAAACACTTATCATTAATGTAAAATAGGGCTTCACATTCTTCCAAGATCAGATTAAAAAACAACAACAAATGAACACATACTGCCATTAGTCATTATGCTAGCAGCTTATTCTAGGAATAATTTTAGAGTAACAGCTAAGTACATATTATTGTTCATACAGTATAAGGACTCCATTATGCTATGATGTTAATTACCTGATATGTCAGTCTTTTTGCAGCACAACACTCGATTGATGCTGTCAATATTATCCCACTTCTTCTTACAGTTATCCAGTCCCTTCAGCTTCAGCTCAGTCAGTCTGAAACAGAAGAGCACATTTATTTAACTTCATTATGATACTTAATATACTTTTGATAAGTAAAGAGAGACACATGTTTGTTTCTTGTGTATTTGTTCTATAATATTAGAACTTCACCCTGTGGAAGCAGTGAAGAAAAACTCAGAATTTTTGGTGAAGGAGAACTGAACCTCCTATGGGTCTTTTGCCTTCATGGAGTGAGGTATTTTCTCTGCATATGCATCTCAGCTGTTGAAACAAAGCAACAGCAGAATAATGAGGATGTTAATTGCAGTAAGACATGATATACTTTTTCTCTGCAACATATGCAATAGTTTAATTTCTTTTAATTAATCCCAGCAGACAAAGAATATGCTGTAATGCTTAATTTTAAGGTTAAATATATTTAAGCTTTAGGCTTAGTATTAGGATATTCAGCTATAACTGGACAGCATTTGTATTCCAGTTTTCAGGAGCTGTAAAGCTAAAATCTGTATAAAATCTGTAGGAGCTCAGGTTTCATAAGCTCATGAAACCTGAGAAACGTTTAATCATGGAGGTGCATATTTCAGACTTACGGCTCCTATAACGAAGGATGTAGCCCCTTTCAAGCCCATGAGCCACGTGCGATCACTCTCCCCATCTGTGCCCACCAGCTTAATGAAGACATTGTTAAGAGTAGTGGAATTAAGGCGATCACCAGTGAGCACGGTCACTTCATACTGCACCATTTTTCCTCTTGAATGTGGTCAAATCCTGGTGGGAAGAAGTTATGATCCTATAGCACTGATTTGGAAATGTAAACATTTACAATTGTGGCATCACAATGAAAAGGACAATGGAAAAGAAATTTAAGAGATTATGTTGAACCTTTTTCTTTTTTTTACCCATAGTTTCTGACTGAAATCCAGTGAAAAGATCTCTTACCTTTATCAATGACAAGAAGAAGTTCTTCAGAATAATTGCTCTGTATCGCCTCCACAACTTCTCTTTTTTATATTTAGGCGGGGGG